GCAGATTGGTCGAGCAACCGATGCAGCGGCTCGGCTAGTGACGCCTTGTGAGGGATAAATGGCACGTAAAAATTTAGGAGGCCGAGGAACGCCTGGAGCTGCGCCTTTGAGGTTGCGGGGGGGAGCGTTCCTTATGGTGGCAATTTTGGAAGGGGTTGGGTGGATTCCCTGGGCATCAATCAAGAAGCCCAGGAATTCCACTTGGGGCACAGCAAAGGAGCATTTGCTGCGCTTCAGTTTTAATCCTGCGCCCCTAAAACGATCGAGGACCTTCCTTAAGACTTTGATGAGGTCTGAGCGGCTGCTTGCAGCGATCAGGACGTCATCAAAGTAGGGAACAACGCCAGGGAGCCCATGGAGCAACCGCTCCATGAGGCTCTGGAAGATCCCCGGGGCAACGGATATGCCAAATTGGAGGTGGCGACAGCGGAAAGCCCCCCGGTGGGTGACGATGGTCTGGGCAGCCGCCGCATCGTCATCCACAGGGAGCTGCTGGTAGGCCTGCGCCATATCCAGTTTGGAGAAAATGCAGCCCTGCCCCAATGAGTGGAGCAGGTGCTGCACGACAGGGACTGGATAGGGGTTTGCCTGGAGGCCAAGGTTGATAGTTGACTTGTAGTCGGCGCAGATCCTGATGGACCCGTCGGCCTTCACGGGGATCACTATGGGGGTCTCCCAGCGTGAATGGTCAACGGGCTCCAGGACACCTTGTGCCAACAGTTTAGCGAGTTCGGCGTCAACCTTAGGACTCAAGACAAAAGGCACCCTGCGGGCCTTCAGCCAGATGGGGGCAACCTGGAGGTCCAAGTTAAGGGAGATAAGGGTGACCTTGTATTGGCCCAGTTCACCATTGAAAATGTCAGCATAGTCCCGAAGGACAGCCGCCACATCAGGGGGCGTGTCCACCACGGAATGCACTCCTATCAGGGATAAACCCAGGGGAGTGAACCAATCCAGGCCTAAAATAGAAGGGAGGGGTTTCTGGACTACCAGGGCCTGGAAAACTGCACAGTGGCTCCCATAGCAAACCCGCACCCCATAGCATCCTAGGGTGGGAATGTTAGTCCCCTGGTAGTCTTTCAATAAGGTCTCTGAGGGAGAAAGCTGGGACTTCGAGACCCGGGGGCACAGTTTGGTGAAGGTTGCTCAGGAGAGGAGTGACCGGGAGGAGCCCGAGTTAACCTCCATTAGGCAGGGGGAACCTTCAATGGTCACTGTGATGGAGATCTTCTGCATACCCGCCGAGGCGAGGTTGACCGACACTGCAGGGGTGGCAGGGACATCATCCGTCAGAGCGTAGCAATCGTCGCGGCGAGGTTGCTGGCATCTGGCTGGTTGGCTCTTGGCTGGTGTAGCAGGGCCATAGACTGGAGGCTGGTCAGCTTGTGACAGAGGTGGCAGGGTGGCCCGGCAGACCTGCGCCAAGTGGCCTTTCTTGCCGCAGCGGCGGCAGATGGCAGCCTTGAAGGGGCAGGCTGACCGGGCATGTGAGCCTCCGCAGCCGAGGTAGGCAACTTCAGCAGTAGGAGCGCGGAGCAGGGAAGGCTGCTGTGGCTGAGGCCGGCATGGGGTGGCCCTCAGTCGATCGACCTGGGCCTCATAGAACTGGTCCGGCAGGGGAACCAGTTCATCGATGAGGTTGGTGATGTATGATGATGGCAGCGGCGGTGTGGAGGCAGGACCCGGTACAGCAGGCAAGGCAGGCACAGTGGCTGAGGCGGTTGCTTGAGGCAGGTAGCGGTCTATCTCTACTGAGGAGAGATCAGCAAGCTCAGTGGCCCTAGCTTCGTCGATGGCATACGTGAGGGTGACCTTGGACTTGCCGAGGAGCCACCGCCTGAGGAAGAGGTCCTTAAGACCACATACGAATTGGTCAGCTAAATTGTCCTCTAGGTCAGGGAAGTCACATTGAGCCGCGGCGGCTCGCAACGCCTGGAGGAACTGGTTAACTGACTCAGATGGCTTCTGAACTCGCCGGCGGTAGGCAAATCGGCGTGCAATTTGGGACGGAGTTGGGGGCATAATATGCTTGGAGCCCCTCCGTTAGTTCCTCCCAAGAGAGGTCGTAGACAGCCCGCGGGGCTGCGAAGGCGTGGGCCATCGCGAACATTTCGGGTCCGCAGGCGGTTAAAAAAAAAACCACACTTCCTGGCTTGGGAGTAGCCCTGCCGGTTGTTGGCAATTAGGAAGCACTCGAACTGCTCTAAAAATGCGGCCCAGGACTCCCCGGCAGCCCCAAAAGGAGAGAAAGCGGGCATGCCGGCCATGTCAGTTCGCGGCTGAGGTGAAGCGGCTGAGGTGATTAGAGGCACGGAAAATTGTCCGGTCTAAAGCGCCTAAAATAAAATCGTTGCTTGCCCTGTAGGTCGTGCTCAGAGCCCATGGTCCCACCAGCTCGTCGCCAGTGTTAGATCCGCGGAAGAACCAGTCTGAGGTGTCTGAGGTAACCGTAAGTTAACAGCTTTATTACAGGCAAGAATGAAGAACATAAGTAGACCGGCACCCTTCCTCCGTCTGACAGCTTTTTATATGGAGCTGTCAGACGGAAGAACCAATAGCCGCGCGTATGACAGCCCGGCAACTTGCAGGACGCACCTGATTGGTTAAGGCACACCTGGTTGCTGCCGAGCTGTTATTCGTAAGTCCGAGGACTTACTCGGCTATAACAATTTTATTGTTTTTTTAATATACAATGTTAACAGATAAAAAAGAGAAAATAACTAAAATTTTAAAAAAGAAAGATTAAAAGGGGAAAATGAAAGAACAAAAGAGAAAAAAGGAAAAATAGGAAAAATGACTTCTAACTTTCTTTAGTACAGATATAAGTAAAAAAACATTCCTCAACTCCTACTGTAGGGTTAATATTTGTCAAGATCATTTCCATAATCCTATATAATTTTAATCATCAAATCTCAAAATTAAATTTTCATTTTTTTTCATTTGCTTGTAAAAAGTCCAGAAATGGTTTCCACATAGAAATAAAATGTCTTAAATTCTTTCATAAACACTGACAATTTCACTATCTCCACCCATTCTATTAACTTCACCAACCATTTGTCCATGATAGGTGTTTGTAAGTCTTTCTATGTTTGAGCATGTAAAAATCTTGCTACGCATCTTAGTTTCCAAGGCTGAGAAACATTGGCTTATAGAAGATTTGTAGTGGCTTACGTCAGTAACAATGATAGAATTAAAAGCCAGTATTCATAAAAGAGGCTTATCCAAAATTTTAGAATTATACTGTATTAAAAGAGTACTGAAAGGACATTATTAAAAACTTGTTAAGATTAAAAAAAAACATGGTTTGAATGAAGGTTTACAATATGTAATGGAAGTGCCAGCTGAATCTCAACCAGATTGATTTGCCTTCATCATCAAATGGCCTTATTTGTCATGCCCAATCAGCATGGCCTACAAGACTTGCGTAGGCATTTTTCTTTCTATATTAGCAGCACATTAAACCTCATTCCTGACATCTCAGCACTATTGTGATAAACACAATATCCTTAAAATAAATGGTAGCAATATTTTTTTAGCTCTTCAAAATCTTTTTTTATGGCCAAAGACTTCAGAGAATAGTGATGCCATGACATCAATGACTTTTTGCCATTCCTCTTTTGTTTTTTTTTTTATTTTTGTTTTTTTGCTTTTGAGTACTTTAAAAAGTGCCAACTCTCTAATGGAGGCTTACCAAACCTATACAATTTGATTTTTTTCATCAACAAGATAGATGATGTGCTGCCTATATTTGGTAATTTGTTGTTTAATGGCAGCGCCTCCTATGGGTCTGCATAAAATAAAAAGTATTTGCTATACCACGTATGATTTTAAATCATAATTAGCTGTACCTGCTTTTCCTATTGCATTTTATTTATCCATCTGTTTTCATCCCAGAAAGGTAGAAGAAAATATAGTAAGAGACGTTCTGAAGCATCTTCATAATGTTATACTGCATACTAGTGCAATATTCTTTTGATAGGCAGATGTGGAGTAGCTTCCTACCCAGGAAGCATCAGTGCAGTGTGGCAAATACTTTTTA